TCCGAGCCGTTTTGCAAGCCCCTTAGTAAAGTGGCCATGGTAATTTATTTTTCAACCCTCAGGCTTGTGCATAGAGGAAACCTAGGTCTCTAGCTAGAGCAGTTGGAGGGTACTGTTAGGCTGTGGGCTGGCCTGGCTTCCCTGGTGGTTGCTGTCTGTGACACGTGAAGGTCTTCGTTCGTGTCCCAAGCGGAGGACATTTGCACTGTAGCTCGAGCATTGCACTTGAAATTGAACACCGGCTGGTTGAGCCCCAGGAGCACTACGCTTGAAATGTGTTCTCTTTCACGTGGCAGTAGTTTCCATCCCCAAGATACCTGTGGGATGTTTTGGCGTTTTCCTGCTGTCTTGTCGGATCTGCAGCGTGGCTTACAGTGACAGTGGATTGGGTCGTTATTTAGACAGGAGCTCAGGCTGCCTCCAGTTCAGGCTGCCCTGGGCATGCTGATCAGAAGGGACACGGATCCCTTTGCCAGTCCACAGGCCCAGAGGCTTGGTGGCTGTCACCAGTCCCACCTCCTCACACACTCGCACACTCTCAGTGCGGTAAGAGGATTGTATTTCTTTTAATATCCCCCAAGCTCATCCTGAACTCTGGGCTCCTCCTCCTGCGGCTCCGTCAGCCAGCCGCTGAAAAACAAGCCTTCCTGCCCCTTTCTGTCCCTGCCTGCTTGTCTAGAAAGTCACCAGGGCTATCTGCTGGCTTTGGGATTGGTGCTGGATCTTTGCCATCGTTTTCCCTAGGGCATTTCACCCGCTCCTACTTATCCACCCCCTCCCCCTGCCCGATTAATTCTTTGAATCTTTGTTCTGAAGCGTGCTGCTGAATCCACTTTCCATCTGTGAAGGAATTTAGTGTTATGCTCTGCCTTTCACATAGTAAATTATTTCTTAATCTAGGTCACCAGCTGTTAAATATGCCTGAAATAAATGAAAAGAAAATGTCATTTTTCTGCGAGAGCAGTCAAGTCTGTAGGAAGCATTACATACTCGCACGGTGCATGGTTCAGGTCAAGGGTGTTAGGACTGCAGTGGCAGCTGGCAGTCATTCTCCCAGGAGGGTGAGGGTCTAAGAGAGATCCTCTGGCCGGCAGTGTCCCATCTGCTTCCTCGGGGTAGGTGCTAATGCATCGTGTCTGTGCTCCTAGGATGAGGGTTTACGGAGCTGCAGAATGCAAGCCCAGAACGATGCTCTCGGGGCCTCATCAGACCATCCCTTCTGCTTCTTTAACCTCTTCCTCTTCTCCGGGGCAGACTCTGCATCCAGCACCTATGCGCCGCCTATGTCCTTGGTACCCTTTGCTCCTTGTCCACTCCCTATACTGTCCTATCACCTCTACTCCACCTAACAGCTGACGTACATTTCAGCTCTAAATGCATGGCAGAAATGAAGCTTATGGGCGACTTAGGGCTTTTTCTGGGTTTCAAACACGTATTTCTTCTTATCAAAAGTCAATCAAGGTCCATTGGAGAAAGAATAAAATATACATATAAGCAGGAGAAAGTCCAGCAAATTAGGAATCTTGTAATTCTACTTCTTAGTGCTTTGGCTATCATCTAATGCATATTCCAGTATATCTTCCATATGTATATGTAAATATTTATACTACCAAAGCAAGCTTATGCTGTGAGTTTTGGTTATCTGTTTATCTCATTTAATAGCCACGAAGGGCCTTGTATGTACATGTTGTTACACCACTGTTTTAAATGAATCAATGGTGTTGGAATGTGTAGATCTTCATGAATCCCCATTTTTTGACCATTCATTTCTCAGTGTTTCTCTATAAAAACCCAAGTCAGTGAGCAGACTCACAGGAAGAATGTCTGCACACACCCTCAATTATAAATTCCTAGAAGGAGAATTATTGGTCAAGGGAAAGCTTGTATTTATTAGTGCTAGATCGCTTTCCAGAGAGATGCACTAATTTCCATATCACCAGCCGCCAATGAGACACTTGCCAACTCTAGATAATAAAATTTAAAGCAATTGTTAGGTATGTTATTAGAATAAATTAGTTTCTGAGTCATTTCCTTTGATTTTTTTTAAAAAAAGAACATTTTTGCATTCTTGTTTTTTTCATTCATGCATCCTGTTTATGTTCTTCATGTCTGTAGGGGCAAAAACTTTATGAATGGTAAAGATTATAACCATTTTTACTTGCTTTCCTATTTACTTCTTAAAATTATTTTTCCTAATAAAGAAAATACCTATGTTTGATGTGTATTTGCTTAAGTCTGTTGATTGGTTTTGTATGCTTTTTCTTTTTGAGTGGTTGAATAAATCAGGCACCTACGAGTGTTAGAAAACCTAAGAAAGGGGCTGGGGATTTAGCTCAGCGGCACAGTGCCTGCCTAGCAAGCGCAAGGTCGTGAGTTTGGTTCCCAGTACCGGAAAAAAAAAAGAAAACCTAAGAAAAAAGGCACTTAATTAAATTAGCTGATAACTTATTTTGGTTCTTGCATGTATAAATTTAAATGAATTTTAATAGATTTATAATATGTATTATATAATTTATATATCTATATTTATGTTAAAGTACATGTAATTATATTATACATGTTAATCTTTGTGTCTGTATCCTTACCTATGTAAATATATGCATACATGTGTGTATCATGTATATTCCCTTGTTTCAGGTTTTGAGATAGGTATTCTTTACACCCCCATTGTATAGAGGAGGAAGAGGTTAATGACATTACTAAGGTCACACAGTCAGTAGGTAGCAAAGCTGGAGTTTAAACCCAGATGGTCCAATGATTTCCCATGATATGAAATAGCCTCTTGTGATTTTGAGAAGGCCAGGGTTACAGAAACTTCAGGCCTGTATGGAAGCAGGGGCTCAGACAGGTATCACGGCTCAGGTACTTCTCTCCACCTCTCATCTGTGCAGTGTGCATCCACTCAGCTCCCATTTTCCGTCTTTCTTGGTGACAAGATGGCTGCCAGCAGCTCCAGGCAAGAGCATGTCTTCCCTTCAGCATTTCCACAGAACTCTTTGGTATGGTGATCATTGGCCCATAGGGGGCCTTGAGCCTGACCTTAGAAGAAAAATCTCTGTGACGAAAGCCCAGGACCTGGGTTGAACTCCTCCTGAGTCACAAGCTACTGCTAAAGCTAAGGATGCAGGGGTCCCCCTGGGTCATATGGTCTCAATGGCATGTTATGGTTTAGATCTAGAATGTTCCAGAAGGTTCATGTATCTAGAGGGATCCCCCTGGGTCATATGGGCTCAATGGCATGTTATAGTTTAGATCTAGAATGTTCCAGAAGGCTCATGTGTCTAGAACCATGACTTTTGGTAGGTGATTAGATCACCTACCATGAGGGCACTATGGCTGGCTTGCTGTTGGGAGGTGGGGCCTGGTTTGAGTTGGGTCATTGGGGATGTGACCTGGAAGGGTTTATTCCTCTCCCATGATCCTCCCTTTTCCCACTGCTTCCTGGCTATGGGGTTGGGCAGCTTTCTTCCACCAGGGCCCTTCTGGCATGCTGTTTCTGCCTTGGGGCCACCTGACCATGGACTGAGCCCTCTGAAAACCAAGACAAATAATCCTTTCCTTTTTCGGGTTGTGGGTGTTCGTTCTTGTGCCCAGTGACAAGAAAGTGACTGAGAGACACAGAGGAGGGAGGCATCCCTAAACAACCTTTTCCATCTCATATCTATATCAATAACCACATAATTAATAATTTAATATTTGTTTAATATTAATGCATACATGGTTTTAAAAAATCAAATATTAGCTCAAGGCTTATTATTATGAGAAATAGCAGTGCCCTCCTCCTCTGTCTTCAATGTCCAATTTTGCTTACCAGAGGCAACTCTTTATTAACCACAAGATTTCTTAGAAATATGCCTATGTAGGTATTTATTGATCTATCTGCCCTTTTCTGTTTACTGGACATAGGTAAAGATTTAGTTCTCTTACTTTTGTCTACTTTCCCTCTCCCAACATATACTATCATCAAAATCAATGATTGCTGAAGATTACAATTTTAAAGGGTTGAAATACACTTTTATTGACTAGAGCAGCAATGGCAAACTTTTTAAAGACGGACTGCCCAAACTGCAATCCAAAACCCACTTGTTTATTGCAAAGTGCCAGCACTGCAAGAACACCTGAGTGGTCAGCTGCTAGAGTGATGCTGGGGCAACTTGATTTGTGTTCTGTGGCAGGACATGGGCCATAGGTTTGCCAACACTGCACTAGAGTATGC